TAGTTGACAGATCACATCAGAGGCAAACGTGCGAAAGACGATCACAGCCCATAATCGTTTCCGAGCTGCTGGCCCGGATTTTCTCGGTGAGGTCCTCTGCAAAGCACCGACCTCCCAGTTCGAGCATGTCTAGGAGGAAGAGACCATATCGGCCAACTTGAGTGAATCGATTATATTGGCGATATAAAGGAATGGAAGTCGCACCGACTGCGCAAACCACAGGGGTTTTAGCCTAACGCCGGTGGTGAAAAAATTGCCGACCTCAAACCTCGTTTGTCGCCTCAATGCTGAACGAAGATCCCGGACTGGAGAAGAGCAAGCACGTTTCCACCTAGAACGGGACTGTATAGACCACCTATTCACTATACGACAGGTGCTAGAGCAGCGCCGCACGTATCGCAGAACGAAAACAGCTGCTTTCGTGGACTGCGAGAGGCTGTGGCCACAGTCGATCGATCCATTCTGTTGGAAACAAATGCGCGAAAAGCTGTTACCATCATAATACGTGAACATTTATGTACTCTGTACACGAACACCACAGGCCGCGTCAGTCTACGGTGACCTGGCGTTTCTATTCCCGATAACAACTGGTGTTCGTCAGGGGTGCCCAGCTTCCATTTTTGCTTAACTTTGTCGTGGTCTCCATCATGGAGTGTTCCCTAGCGGAATCTCATGATGCAGGTGTTGAGGTGCTGCCTGGGGAAAGCCTCGCTGATTTTGATTATGCGAGCGATATCGTCTTGCTGCTGAACGATGCTGGGGTGGCCCAATCAAACATGACTGACCTCTATACAGTGGTCCCATTAGTTGGCGCGCGCTTAGCACCTCAAAAGTGCATAGTGCTGTTGCAGGACCACCAGATGACTGCTTGACCCTTGATAACGAGGAACTCGAGTTAGTTGATCAATTCACTTGGCATCTGCATCAGCCACGATGGGCGCAAAAGCACTGAAATCAGCTCACATTTTGCGAAAGCTAAAACTGCCTTCTTGAACCTGTGACATCTATGGTATCAGAAAGAGGTTTCCTCTGTTTGAAAGGCCGTGAGTACAAGGCTATAGTGGGGGCCGTCCTACCCCTATGGGGGTGAGACTTGACCCCTTTGATCCGAGGAACTTAAGCGCCTTGAAGTCTGTGATCATCACTATCTGCGAAGCATTGCTGGTGTCCGGTGGCACCAGCGTGTGCGCAACGATGAGGTGCGCAGACGAGTAATAGGTAGTGATAATTATGCCAGTTCCTTATAATAACAGGGAGCAGTGAATAAGTTGCGTTGGCTTGCCCACTTACTAGGTATGCCTGGTCATCGCATATCGAGGAGGCCGTTGTTTTGTCTGCCCGATGTAGGGTGGCATAAGGCTCGAGGTGAACAAAAGTTGACTTGGGAGAGGGAAATGAAATCAATGACGACCAAACACTGTGCCGTTGGTCCATCTCGCCTTCCAGACCGGAATCCACGTGACCCGCCTTGTTTTTCGCTAAGGACTTTAAAGGACATGGTTCGTAGTCGACACCAGTGGCGCGTCTGCTTCCATCTCGTAGTCGGACTGTCTGGTTAAAGTGTGTCTGGTGCTAAGTTATCTGCGGGGTATTGGCAGATTACGATGCGGGGCAGTAAAAGCCGCAAGGAAGCTGTCTTGCTGCTGCCACCTTATCTTTGTACGATAGCCAGCTGTTTGCGACGGTATGTTGTTGACAAGGGGTAGGTGCCTTTACCCTGATTGTTCAGGGCAGTAAGGTTTTACCCTGGGCTTCCCTTCTCTCTTTGTAATAATTTTTCGTTCCTTAGGTCACCATGGATGAACGTCAGCGAAGCAGCGGTTCAAAAGAAAACTATACTGCTATTGATGATGATGGGGATTTGAGAAATGGCCGTGTTTACATCTACATTAGCGTAAGCTTACTATGAAAGCAAGAGTAGCTAGTCATCCGATGCGGTGCAGATGCTTGATCGTCGTCAGCCGTGACTGAGCTGTTCAACAGGTCGTCGTCCATAGGTTTATTGCCGAGTGACTGAAAATTCTCAGTCGTAGTATCCGAGAGAAGATAAGAATTTCTTGGAAAAGCCATTATTTCAGCGATTAAGCCATGGTTACAGATTATCGCGTCGATTCCGAACATTCTGGAATATGCTAAGGCTTCCACGTGACTAAGAAACTCGTGAGATTGGCCCGATCTGCATGGGACTACAAATTTTGACAGCTGACCTTCCTATTCTAGAAGTCGAAGGTCAGTAAGCGAGTTATAAATACAACCAAGGTCCGTTGCAGTTATACAGTGTTTTTTTTAGAGACGATCAGCGAGTTATTTTGTCAAGGTCATTGGAGTTCGGATTTTACGTTCGGTTGGGCTATAGGTCTTGTGGAGCAGTATAGCGTTTATGTCGTAATCGCGACAATTGGGAAGATTATAACATAAAGCCAATACCGAAGGGCGGTGACTCAAGCAAAATGGACAACTATCGACCGACCTGCCTTAACGCTGTTTTGGCTAAGACACTTGAGAAGAGCGTGAAGAATCTTCTGTAGGTTCTAGAGTCGAAAAACTCATTGGTACCCACACAGCATGATTTCGTGAAAGGTCGCTCATGCATCACCAATTTGTTCGTGAGGACGCAGGAATGGTTGCAAGTGATGAACCAGGGGAAGTCGGTCGGCGTCATTTAAATTGGATTCAGTAGTGCATTTGACAAGGTGAACCATGCTGTGTTGGCGACTCGCTGCACCAATGAATCAGAAATTTCCCTGTTGGTTAAAAGTGGAGGGTCCAGGTCGACAAAGATTTGACCGACTGATGTCCTTCGACCACTAGCATGCCCCAAAGCACAGCAATAGGACCTATATTGCTCCCGATCCACATGAACAGTGTGTCCCAGCTTCTCTGTTCGCCTTGTGCGTTGTTGACAAATGACTTGGTTGTGTGGAGAGGAATCAGTGTGCCCGATGACTATAACCTACTTCAGAGTGATCTTGATTGCCTCTTCATGTAGTCTGCAGAGAAGAACGTTCTGGTAAACCAGGTCAAGTCGGTATTCATCAGCCTCGGTAAGGGTGGATATGGTAGAACCTGAACCGTGGCCCGTCAACCGTTGTGTCCCACGCTAATGTTGCAGGAGATACAGTGTGAAAAGAATGCGTCGATCAGGTTACTTCCTCTTGCTGAGCATTTCGACAGCCCCGAGGCTGAGGAAAATGAGCCCGATCAACAGATATCTGCTTCCAAGGTATGGTATCGTGCCCGTTGTGGGCGACATGAATATTCAGGTCGGTTACCTAGCAAGATTAGAACACCGCCGGGAGGTCGGTGCTTGTCTCACTGATAATGGGGACTGCTTTCTTCAGCTTTACGCTCAACACAAGCTCCGTAACAATAGTGTAGATTCTACGCACAAGCATTCGCATCGAGATACATGGCGGTTACCGAACGGCAAGCCTAGCCGAACTCAGAGTGATCAGATTGCCATCACGTATAGATGACGCACGTCGGTTCGAGATTGTCAGTGGATCTGGTATGTTTATCTCGACTCATGCCCACGAGCGCGCTCAGATGCAGCTCAGTATCTCCGGTCCGGTTCATAATCCACAAAGCAGCAATATCAATCGGCAGTTTGAGCACACCCACTGTTAAGTACATGTGCATCTATCGTTTTTGACGGCATAGAGACAAAAATGAACGCGTCAGCTGGATTTCGTCTTTCTTGTCCGCATAGATGGATGGCCAGCCGTCCCATTTGGGAGTTTTCGCCCACTCGCTGAGGTAAACATAAAATAAGAAAGGGTGTAATATGCCTAGATAGGCATAAACGTCTTCATTTTTCAGTAAAATCGTAGTTTCAGTTAGCGCGTGTGACCGTTGGGATGCCCTATGTGACCGTTTTATGCCCTTGATTGTGAGACACATTTGGGACGAACATCGGTCACACAAAAATTTTCGGTTCAGCCTTACGGCTTCAGTGTTGCTTAATTACGAGTTAGAAGTCTGTTTGAGCTTGGTGTAGGTGGCAGTTGCAACCAAAAATGCATTCACGGTATATGTTAAGGCTGCATCGGAAGTCACTCAGGGCGCTCCAACGGTCGCTCCATCGGACACTTTCCGGTCACTAGTGTTATGCGGATTCTTACCATGAGTTGCACTTAACCACCAAAGCGTTCGAGATAAATATATTGTTTATTATCGACAACGCGAGGCACGCCTGCACAGGCGTGATGATATATTAAACATGTGACTGATTTGCTGTGGTGGGTTGTAATATTAGGTCAGGCTGATAAAGTGAACCCTTACTCGATAGCAGGAGGGAAATGCATACATAAGTTGACAAATCTCGAGGGACTGATGCCTCAAATTTGGATGAAGCTGACTAGTAGAGTTCCGATATTGACGTAAACTTTACTCCAGTATTGTATCGTGATTGAATTATATGACTCTAAAGGTGGTGGAGTGAACGAAGAACACAATAAAGCGTCCTTGACTATAAATAGCGCGGGGCCTGTCCAGAATGGGAGTATGATCGCAAGTTCAGATTGGATGCACTCAGGGCAATCATGAAGATATGTTTTATGTCCCAACCCGCATGATTAATCAGCAAACCACCGTCAAACAACACAGTAGCAATGATGGGCTTGGACTCTTTCGGTGAGAGGGGGGGGGCTACGAGTCGAAACGAGTGGTAAGCAAACATATAACCTTATGCAACATTCACGAAAACTGGTAGCATCCGCGTGCTTTACATCGATCACGCACTGCATACAACTTAAAATGTCTCTGATGATCGAGATTTTATGGGGAAGACAACTGCCGAAACTGCAATCTCTGAAGCGCTGATCTGAGCTACAACGATGCACATACATTGGCACTTGTAAAGTGCCATCCGAAGTGGTCCAGTGGAATACGGAGACACATGTAATCGCGCACGGTGCTAATGTGCAATCTCATCAATTCAGTGTCCTGTGTGACATAAGCGATACTAGTCACGGGATCCGAAAAAAATGGCAGAGAGAAGTAGCAGATAGACCGCACTGAAAGATAACTGAATCGGCGGTGCCGAAGTCTAGACAGATAGTTGCGACGAGTCTTGTAGATCGATTTTTATGAAATAGAGGGCGGATAACAAAGACAATGAGTGAGCGCTGCAGTCCATTGGAATTTCATAAAATTTTGCAGACGGAGCGTGCAGTACAAAATAAATAAAAAGTAGAAGGCAGTGGGACACAAAATCCTCTAGAAAATGTGTACAAAATCTGGAAGACATAAAATAATACTTAACCTAGCACCTGGAAATGCAGAGTTCAGTGGGTTTGATGACTTGGGGAGGGAGCTCAAGGGGGCAGGGTCAAGTTTAGAATGGATGAGAATAACATATCCTCAGTAAGTAGCTGTTCAACTGATCGATCATCGAGACGCAGTCGGATTCGATGAAGATGAGCAGGTGTGCCCATTGCACAGGCACCCGGTATTTTGGAAGAGCCACGATTGGTTGAAAAATCGATGTGACCACGGGCATCCAGTAGACCACAGACGGTGGCCAGTTCAGACTCTTCTAAGCCGATAAGCTGACGGTTAGCGCAAATATGCAAATAAACATCGCGAAGTTGATTGAAGGAAAATTCGCGGGTGTGCTTCCGCTTGTTGATAAGATAAGCACTGGCCATAACCAAGCGATGATGAAGAGGGAGGCTGTGAGCCAAATGCGCATTCGGTGTTGCAGAGTTATTGGACTGGTCAGCGCCGACACAGAGGGGGGCGTGAACATTCTAGGTTTCAAGAGAAGAAATAAAGTAGTGAAATATGGAAGACGCGAACGCCGTGAAAAGGTTAAAATGATGAGGATAACAAAACAACTAACAGAGACCCTGGATCGATTGATCTTGACAGTCTGAATAGGGATGAACTAAGGTCTTACACGTTAGAGGGAGGGGCAATAAGAAGCTGCTCGGAAGCGAATAGGTCGTGGAAGGGTAAGGTTGCAACCTAGGCAAAACAAAATACACACATCATCAAACCGTTGAGATAATACGTACTAATATTACAACAATTCGAAAAGGGTTGCCATATACATGAAATCAAGGAACGGAAAAATTCTAGTAAAAGGATTTACTGAGCGCTACACAACAGTCGGTGACCTCGCTCGTGTTCACAACAGCCCATCAATGAACCTAATAGAACGGTCATGAGCAATCGAATCATTCAGCCGGTGGTCAGGATGTCAATGGCGCAGGCATCCGAACGCCACATTTCGGCTGCCCGTTATCAGGTCAATCTTCAAAGTGTGGAGCAGAAGATTAATGTTATTATCATCATCATCATCATTCTCCTTCTCCTCCTCCTCCTCATCGTCATCATCATCATCATTATACACGTCAGCTAGAGGTGGGAAACACCTCAGCTAGTGTGCCGCAATTCATCGAAGAAAAAAGGAGAAAAATGCAACTGGTGCAAACAGGCTGAGCTACCGGTAACGGATGGGCATCGTTCCGGCAAGCTACCAGCCGGCTACTACGCATCAAAATTATTATGCAAAAATATATAAGGCTAAATAGTGAGATCGTGGTTCGAGTGGGAGGCTAAGAGGGATGGGTTGGGACAAAGGATCTCACAGCACGAACGCCACTGAGGACGGCTCCTAGCCATATCAGCAAGTGTATCCAGCCAAACGTGTTCATCGTCTTTGCCATCGCAATGAGGCTAGACCTTACCGTGGTGCGATGGTTTGTGTGCCTCAGTGATCTATTGTGCTATACTGGTTGGTGCACTTTCGCACCTTCAGAGTCACTTATACCAGATTGGTCAATGGTTAGAGGCCAGACAAAAAGCCTCCTGGTCCTCCAGGTTGGGGGTTGGAATGAGGGTGGCTCCTTATTCCTTAAAACGGAATCCTTGTGGCCCAGTGCCAAACCCGCTGCCTTGCGGACAGGTTTTTGAACCAAAGGCTTTGGTTGAGAACCCTAATCGTTCTCCTGTCTAGGCCTGGGCAACCTGACAGTATCCTGCCCACGCAATACAAGGAATTTCACTTCAAACAAATTTCTGATGCTCTGGCCACCGCAGAGGATAATCAACGGTGCCCTATCCGCTGCATCGAGCAGGGTGGATAGGGGTTTGGATGCTACTGCTCAAGCTTTCCCGTCTTCTTATTCCCCTCCTTGCGCTTTTTCACCCTTATCGTCCCGTTCCAGCTTCACTTGAATCCCCTCTGTTTTCAACCCCCCAATTCTCGGCCCTCCCCCACCTTGCTTCAATAGTCGCTTGTCTTTTAGTTTCAACTCACATGCGAATGCGGAGCATCATTCCTGCTCTGTCAACAGGCCCATGTCCAAGCAAGCGGTCCATTCCAGTTCATCGGCTTCCATTTGGAGCCCTCGATCCTCCTTCAGATTCGCATGCCTCAATGTTCGCATATTGCTTCAGATCGATCAACAGGCAGCACTTGCCCGAACATTAGAGACCCTCTCGATCGATATCTGCTGCTTATCGGAGACCCGCCTGCAAGACTCGAGCTCTGTACTCACTCTGCGATCCCCTTCAGGGGACACTAGCAGCACTTTCTCATTGCGCCTATCCGGTGACGATGCAGCTTCGAGCACCGGCCAAACCGGTGTTGGTATTGCCCTGAGTCCCCGGGCTGAAGCTACTCTGGTTGATTGGATTCCAATCAGTAGCCGGATGTGTGCGGTCCGATTGGCTGGCTCATTCAAAACTTCGAAGTCGCGTGGGACTAACAGGTGTCTATTCGTTATCTCTGCCTATGCACCGACAAACTGGCGATGATTCGGTAAAAGACGACTTCTATCGTCAACTAAAAGAGCTCCTTAGCCAAAGAAGAAGCTCGGACACTGTAGTGCTGGCTGGGGATCTGAACGCTCAAGTTGGAAAATTATCCACTGATGAGCTGCATCTGGGCGGCCAACATGGTGTAGCCTCCCGTAATGATAACGGTGAGCGGTTACTTCATTTGCGTGAGGATGCTCGCTTATTTCTTGCGAGCACTAATTTCCGACACAGCACCCGCCGGAGGGTGACTTGCGCCCACCAGCCTCGAACCAGCTATGGACGCAAATCGATCACATTGCGATAAGTTACCGCTGGAGAGGCTGTGTCCAGCGTACAGAACTGTCGCTCGATTTGGAGCACAGGTGTGGACACCGATCATGCACTTGTATGTGCTGACCTGCGGATGCGTTTTGGCGGACGCCCACGACGACGTTGTGAGCGCATTGACACTTGCCAACTGGGGAAGCCAGCTGTTCTGAATGCGTATCGAAGTACGCTGTCATGCGAGTTGGATAAACGCTCACTGGATGCAATTGAAGTTCACTGGTCTCATATTCACCAGACCTTACTAGCAGCAGGAAAATCCTCATGTGGTATGTCTAATCGCCAACATGGACATTGGGTCTCTTCACAGTCTCTGGAACTTATAGGTGCTCGCTGGCATATTCCGGCTGGAAGCGAACACAATGAAACTCGCAAAGAGCTCCGGGCAAAACTCCGTGTTAGCCTGAAGAGAGACCGCGAATCCTAGTGGTCTAATCGTGCAACAGAGATGGAAATGGCCGCTGCCCTTGGTAACCATCGTAAGTTCTTCTGTCTGGTACGGGAAACGAGCAGCAGAAGACCTGGTGTTAAGGAAACTATACGTGACGAGAGTGGACAGCCTATCCACAACTTATCAAAATGCTTAGAGCGTTGGGCTGAGCACTTTGAAAGGCAATTTAATCGGTCGGAATGGTTAGATTTCTCGCCGGCCACTGATCGCCCCGCTCCGTCGGTTGTCCCTTTGGATCCACTCTCTCGCTCAGAAGTCGAACGTGAGATCGAACTGTTGAAGTTAAATAAAGCCGCGGGACCAGATGATCTTCCTCCAGCCCTCTTCAAATTCGGGGGACCTGCTCTTGTGGATGATTTACACGAGTTACTAATCAAACTGTGGGAGCAAGAAACTGTCCCAACCGATTGGAGCCGCTCCGTCAAAGTCCCCATTTTCAAGCGAGGCTCACGATCTGAATGCGGCAGCCATAGAGGAATCAGTCTTATCTCCATCGCCTCCAAATTGCTTGCCTCTGTCATCCTTCACAGACTGACTGGCACTCGTGAAAGTCAGATTCGTGAAGAGCAAGCCGGGTTTCGTCTAGGTCGTGACTGCATTGACCACATCTTCACTTTGCGCCAGTTGTTGGAGCACCGTCAAATGTATTGACGGCCCACCTTTGTCGTGTTCTTCGATATCAAAGGTGCATTCGATTCTGTGGATAGACTTGCACTTTGGGACTGTCTACTCAGGAAAGGTGTACCTGAGAAATATGTAAATATTATCCGAGCATTATATGCGCGTAGCTCGGGCAGAGTGAGGGCTTACGGCAAGCTGTCGTCGCCCTTTAATATTTCCAGCGGTTTGAGACAAGGATGCCCGCTGTCACCTTTCCTCATCAACTTCGCTATTGATGAAGTCATGGAAATGGCGTTTACAGGACACGACTTAGAAGGTGTGGATCTGCTCCCAGGAGAACGACTTCTTGACTTAGAGTATGCAGACGACATTGCCCTCATCTGTGACAGCACCCAGACATGCCAAGCCGCGCTGGACAGATTATCACTGGCTGTCAGCCGCTTCGGGCTTTGCTTTGCACCATCGAAATGCAAAGCGTTCCTCCAAGATTGACTGGGATCGCCTCCTGCGCTGACCCTTGGTGGGGATCAGCTAGAAGTCGTTCAAAAATTCAACTACCTGGGAAGTTGTATCAGCGCCCTTGGGATCGAAGACGAGATCACGAACCGTATAGCAAAAGCTCGAAGTGCTTTTGTTAACCTTCACCACCTATGGCGGCGGCGCGACATTACTCTCGCCCTGAAGGGTAGAGTGTACAATGCAGCAGTACCTTCGACCTTACTGTACGGTTGCGAAACCTGGCCCCTAAGATCGGCGGACATGAAGCGGCTAGTTACGTTCGACCATCGGTGCCTTCGCAGTTTGGCTCACATCTGGTGGGAACACCGCGTGAGCAACGAGCGTGTTCGACGCCTCGTTTATGGCACAGGAAAAGGAAATGAACCGCTCAGCACCGTTATACCACGCACCAGGCTCCGATGGCTCGGCCACGTGTTGCGCATGCCAGCCCACCGACTGCCGCGACGCGTGTTGTTTGCGCGCCGGGGGTGTGGATGGAAGATGAGGAGGGGTGGCCAAGCGATGACTTGGTCGAGAGGAATAAAGGCGCTCACTTCTGAGCTGGCCTCGGTTGGAGCGTCACGGCTCCCTGGTTGGGGTCCGAAAGACGTTTGGCTGGATACACTTGCTGATATGGCTAGGAGCCAACCTCAGTGGCGTTCGTGCTGTGAGTTTCTTTGTCCCAACCCATCCCTCTTAGCTTCCCACTCGAACCACGATCTCACTATTTAGCCTTATATAATTTTGCATAGTAATTTTGATGCGTAGTAGCCGGCTGGTAGCTTACCGGAACGATGCCCATCCGTTACCGGTAGCTCAGCCGGTTTGCACCAGTTGCATTTTTCTCCTTTTTTCTTCGATGTATTGCGGCACAGTAGCTGAGGTGTTTCCCACCTCTAGCTAACGTGTATAATGATGATGATCATATTACCCACTCTTGTAGGCAGATAGCTCGAACTAGTGTACAGCTTTGTCTAACTAGGGGGTCTTCGTTGTTGCTGACGGGGTTCGGGAGGTTTCGTTTGGCACAGCAGTATCCAGATTAGTGTTCGCTGACCTGAGACACATGAGGCGTCGCGTGGACGTTTCACTCAAGGTATAAGTTAGGAATCTATAATGCCTGTGTTGGCATAGTGCGCCCGTATGGAAGCGAAGCCTGGCTGGTTCGTGTGAATGGCGTGCGTCGGCTTTGGGCATTTTATATCGGGTATTTGCGGAGGGTTGTTCGCATGTGGTGGGAACACCACGTTTAAAACGATAGCGTCAGGCTCGCATCGCTGCGCTTGTTGAGATGGCATGATCGCGCAATACATATGCCATGCGAGCGATTAACATGTCGCGCTTCACTCGCTCCCACAAGATCATGCTGGAAGAAATCGGGTAAAAGGCAGCCTGCCAAACAGCGAATAAACATCTAAGCGATGATTTCCAGTTTAGCTAACGTCGGTTTCACACCTTTCCTGAGTTGAGGATCCAAAAGCCAAGAGAACTGCTAGGTCGAAACCCTTGGGGGAATAACACGAGATCTGGCGCAACTGAAGGAACTGAAGTAAGATAAACTTAAGACAGAAGACAAACCAGAAGACAACCGATCGGTAACTGTAAGAACGAGCCGGTCTACGTCAAACTATCTGACAAAACAACCGAGTAGTCGAAAGAACCACGTGAAGTTTCGGGGAAACACAATGACGTGCCTGTACCAGATGTCAGTAGAATTACTGGACATAAAGATCACGTCCGTCGTCGATCCGTTTTAATGCAGCCAGGCAACGCATCCTCAAGCCAAACTACTGAGCTGGCAGACCCGCAGTACACGCAAACCTCCGGTCACACAAAGACTCAGCAGTCGAACCCACACGGTGACTGGTCAACCGTTGCATCCCACGCCTTTCGTGCGCGACCTCGGTGTACTCTCACACTGCGACCTAAAGTCCACGAACAACACGAATAAGCTTTACCAAAACAGCCTTTGTATGCTTTGGGCGCTCAGGCGCAGCTTCAGCACTTGGTCCGAAGAGATTACCACTCGCATCCTCGTCTCAATAATACGACCAATGCTAGAGTATGGATCTCCCGCGTATTGTCCTATCACTCGGGGCGAGGTAGAAAAGATTGAGCGAGTACAGCATGTAGCCACCAGGCTGATTCCCAACTTACGAGGTGTGCCGTACGAAGACCGGTGTAAGAAAGTACGGCTGTACACCCTAACTTATCGTCGAATGCGGGTTGAGCTCATCATGACGCACCAGATAGTATATCTGGGAGATAACTCCATGTTGAGATCGCTGCTTCATCTGCGCACACTAAGCAGCACACGAAGACACCGGTAGAAGTTTGTCGTACCGGATTTGAAGCGGGTCGCTCACTAACTCTGTTTCGAACGCAGAGTGGTGAATGTACGGAACGACCTGCCGCAGCAAAGTAGTTGAGGCAAAGTCGGTGTCGGAATTTAAGAAGTTGCTGGACAAACCCTTGCCGACGCAAAATATATTGAGCGCAACAGAACATAACGGGTCTTTGTTCCTTAGTGACATTAGATGTAGCTACACAGAGCAAACTCTACTTGCTACTTCCAACCAGTAATCTCACCGCTCAGGTCGGCTACACGGACCTGTCGATCGATATGGGGCTAGCTGGAACAGTCCCAACTAAAGAGAGAAGGAATGTGGCATCGTCGTGGCCACTACTGCTGTGCCCTTCCTATGGGCTGTCCATATTTGCCAGGCGTGCGTTCGTCTACTGCCCAGTCAGCCATTGATTAAGCCAATCATCAATCAACAATACATAACTAGTGCATCGTACAAAACGCCGGTAAGAACATGGATTTATCTCCTATTTCTGTGTGTTAGGTCGGCTAGGAGAAAGTTACTAAGCGTTAATTCTGCACTTGATATACCGTAACACACGTTACAACGCTTCAACCTTGTATGTGTGTCTTGGAGACAGTGCATATCAATTCCAAGAGAGCGCAACACAAGGGCAAGGGTTGCCTGTCAACCGGTTTGATATAGCGTAAAAACACAAAAAGACTCCAAATGAAGAGAGACTGTCAGTTTGGCAAACGGTATACATAGGCAGTCAGGAGTGACTTCTCGTTAACTAATTATGTGAAGGGAATAGAAAGAAGAAGAAGAGGGAACACTGGTGGGACAGTGCCGTGAACGGATGGTGCTACGCTGTGGTGGGTGAGGAACACGGTTTTCTGGAAAAGTCCAGGGAGGCTGTTTCGTGTAACGGGATACATATCGACGCAACATGAATTGGTGTAGGTTTACTCGAAAGGAGAATGCATCGTCCAAAGGGAGTAAAAATATACAATGACGCCAAAAGTTAATTAGAACGGTACGTCCAGTATGGTGGAAACGACAGAAATTGGATCAAACAATATCAACTGCAATATGTGAATTGGAATGAATGCAACCGTGACGGCTTTGCCATCAATAGGTGGCTAAAGACTCTCACTGTGGTTGTTTGCCACAGAAAGCTTGATCAGATGGAAATGGAACCGAGGGAGAAACGGACGAAAAATGAACCAGTATATGCTTTGTGAAATATGAGTGCGCGGAAGAGATGATAGCATTGAGTTCATGAAAATGGACTTCAATGGAAAACAAACATAGGGTGCTGATGGGGACCACATTGGACAAGCGGTCACCAACGGAATTTCGATAACTATGGTGCGTGAACTCCGGATAAGTGGGAAGGGAGATACGATCACTTACTTGGGACTCTTGGAGCGCAAGGCTAATGTGCTTTAAGGTTGGAAATCCAGAGCGGGGAGTGGAGGTGGCGGAGGAAGATGGCTGTTTAGCCAAATCAAATGCCCTAGATACCACACTGAGAGCAGTGCGGGCGTCGCCTGTAGATGCAGAAATCTGTGCAAAAAGGAAATAGCAAAATGAATACCATATTTGGTAAGAGTTCGGAACACAGGTCAATGAGGGAAGGTAAACAGCAGGATTTGACAAAGTGTGAAGTTCTCATGATGTATAATTACCGTACATTATGGCTCCATAGACGCTTGATGATATAGCATATTTTCTATTTATGTAAGTGTGCATTTTGTCCGCGCCACAACGCTTACGCTCATGGGTGCTTATCTCGTACACTGTGTCCCCAAGAAATGCAAATATTCGAAACGCACTACCGAGGCAGACTCATGCAATGGGTTATGGCAAAAATGCATACCAAAATGATCTGCTGCGTCAGATAATGACTTGGATGCTGTGTTTTGAATAAGTTCCGCTTGGCCCACAGTTCAACGACAAGCAATACGGAGGTGACTCACGGAAGCTGGATTCGTTCAAATTCTCGAGCTGAACGGTGTCTCCTTACTAGACATTCCAACTATCATGACAACTAGGGGGAATGGATGTACAAGTTTTTTAAATGGATGACGACTTGGTAACCTGCAGTGGACGAGACCAATATGCTATTTTCCAAGCGATAGTGACTGCGGTGCACCTCTACGGAAACAGACAATAAACATCTTACTGAGAATAAGAACAAAGTTAAGAAAACCATAGAAACTTCAAAAAAGATTATGTCAGGCATCGTTTGAAGTCATCTGTTGTGGAAAATTATTCAAGTATGCTGAGTAATGTGGCTTGTGTGCAAAGAGCGATTTTTTAGTTACGCTTGTGATAAGAGAACGAAGTAAAGATTGACATTTTTTTAAAATGTAACCTTGGGGCAAACATATTGCATTTTTGTTTGTTATAATACTATACTTTTGGACTATATCTGCCATTATGTAAGAGTTCATCTAATATATATGAAACAGGGTGCACGTGAAAACAGATTTTATGCTGTACTACTCATAACAAAAAGTAAGGTACGCTAAGTTTTGGAGAGGACCTCTGTATGTTCACAACTTTGATCCAGTCTCTTGAGTGGTCAACTTACGGAGGTTTTAATGTACAGCTTTAATATAGCACTCAGAGTGTAGATGCCGGATGATCTGCACCACATCGACGGGATTTGATCCGAGTGGGTTGGAAATGGAGTTCCTCTGACTAAGATCATTTAACTAATACACACCACGTTCTCGTATGAAATTCTTGGTTGCAGCATGAATGCCAACTTGTTGCGTAATAACTGTGCTGTTCATTGAGTTATCTTGTCTCCCTCGTTGGTTTTAGGGTAAAAAGAAGAAACCACACCGCTTCCCGTGTTTGTCGGTGGTAATCACTATCCACTATTTGCTCATGTTCCTTTCTGAAAGTTCGGTACCACCTGGACTGTAAAAGTAGATCTGGGCTTAGGTGTTCCGACTAGACTGCAGGTGGCCCGTGCAGGTACATCAAGACAATTGATCCTGTCGGCTGTGCTTGGTTTTCGGACTGGCTTACAAAGGTATCTATAGCTCTGGGGGCCAACCCTGTCTTCCGCGTGTTAATAACAGGCATGACAATGGGAGATGAGCCGCGCTACATCGCAGTTAGAAAACAGTCATGGCGATATGCCGCCGTTACCCACGGCTCAGTGGCTCAAGTCTCTGACTCGTAGTAGAAATATCATAAGTTCGGATCCAGCATGATCCGTTGGATGTGCGCAACATAGGATATTGGACGAAACAGCCGTCTAGCGCTGTCACGGATGTATGGTAGCGATCTAAGCAAGTACAACTGCGACGAACCTGCTCGAAAAACGAAAAACCCCTACTACTCACTAGTAGTAAAGAGCAGCAGGTATAGTTTACCAACGAATAGCCAAGCTATCCTCGAGTGTTTTGAAGCCACTTAGATTGTGGAGATCCCGAAAATACCTACGACATATGCGCGTCCAATGAAGCTTCGGTATGATGTCACCAATGTCACCAACTTCTCGTACTTAAGGGAAGGCAAAAACATACCAGTAACCATTGAGCAATCATGAATGTATGAACGGAGGATCACCGGAACTAGACTGCCATCGTACAGCCGTACCTAGTTTAGTGGGATTAGCGCACGTAGGATGGAAGTAATCAGAAAGATTAGAATATGGAAGCCTTCCGAAAGGAAGTAGAAATTCCAAGGAAAATCCATCATACAAATGGGAAAACGATTTGAATCAATAACACTGAGTGGAAAAAGCAAACAACTTCAAAAGAATTCTAATCCGTCGCGCGACGTGCATTTACTGCCTCACTTGATGGACCGGTTCTACACTATGTATTCTTGCAATTGACCCAGCTGCTCCAGAATTTGAATGTTCGAGAGCCTACCTATAAATATACTCGTATCGTCTCGGTAGCTCATTTTAGATGGAATTGGGATCTCACTGGAGACGCGACAGTTTCCATGGGAATCGAATAGAGAAGAGGTCTAACAGATACCCACTACTGATATCTAAGTACAGGTTTTCGGGGCGCAGGAACTTCATCGGAACCACGCTGGGCGTCTTTCTCGTTAAGCATCCTGTCGTTGACGTGTCCTTGGTCAGTTATAAAGACGCTTGTTTCGGTGGCAAGGTCAGTGCGCATCGTCAGCTAGCCAGAATGCTACATGGTTCTGACGCCCGAGGAAGGTAGAAGCCACATAATCTACTGTTTACCCCATTAATAACACTTGCATGTTAGTTGTATAAAGGGGTTGTATATGGCCTGATGGTTAGTAACCGAAAACCAGTCGGTTTGCTACACCAGATTTTCAGAGGTGGCACGGGATTTATTAAGCAAGCCACGTTATTTTAAACGTTAAAAGTCGATTTCTGGATTCTACCGGACGATGGTAACGATTTTCTTTCTAGTAATGAAGATGACACTGTTCTGAAATACGGTGACCATTCCCACTTAACGGCTTCTCCACAGCAGTCAATGGGTTCTGAAGGGACTGTGGAATGTGATGAGGTGTATCGATAAACTTGAGAAGTAAGATAACGGCGAATAACGCGCTGGTTGAGCGAAGGCAGCCGAGGAATAGACATACGTTGTCCACTAGCGTGTGTAGGCAACGGCCAATGGGATTGGATAGAGACGTAGGGGACAGCCAGAAGGTGTCATTCGTATACAGAAGATTCCTGGCAGGAAGCAACGGATGGATTTCGTTACTATAAACAAGATTCATTTGTTTAATGAACAAAAACGTTTCGAGTGTTGTTTTAATAAAAATCCGTTCTGCCTATCAGAGGTAGAAAAATGTAGGTAGAAGGCGGAATGTACGAGGATGCGCAAGAACGAGATGAAAGACACAAGCAGTCAAAAATAGTAAGAATATACAGTGTCGAGTAAATGTGGCTATGACATGACAAAGTCGTTTTACTACCGGTGATGTGTTGAAGAATGGACTAACTTTTCTCGCACATAGCTGTATGGCTAGCGGATCCATGCGAACTCCGTCGTTTCCAGACAGGTTGGCCGCCGAGAGTTTAGCGCTGACTATATCCGCCAACTCATTGTGACTATAGGGAGAGAAAGTCAAGTGTTTTGGTTGGTGTGCCTTGCTCTGAAGACGTGGGAGTAACCGCTCAGGAAGATCCAACGCATTGGCTATGCCAATGATTATCAAGTGGCAACTCAATGTTGCAGGCCAATTAAAAATTCTACAGAGAAGAGAAACAACAAAGGATTTGAGGGTGCTGCGTACAGCAATAACCGTAGTAAGCCGTTTTAATGTGATGATGACAAAACAGTCAAAAAGGGATTTGGGTTGCGGGAATTCAAATTACCGGAACATGGACATCTAGCCGAACGGTACAAAAGACAGACTACACAAACAACGCAATCTTAAAAGAGTCAAAGACGAGACCGTGATGAACGGACTCCAATAACTAAGCGAGAAATAAAAATGGTCACATATAAGGTAAGCAAGGGAAAAGCGGAATGACTGACGTCATCGCAAGCTAAAGCGCGAGAGTAATCAGGTCATGAGTGGATACGCTGCGTCAATCTCATGCCAAAGGTAAATTGAGCGATTGGATAAATGAACATTCCTATTCTAGGAGGAAAATCAGGGTGAGTGGTGCACTCAGGTTTCTCTGATGTTTAGGTCGAATAACCAATGCCTTTGATTGAAGACCGAGGGCATGGACAAAATAAAGGAGTATACCAGAATATGAGCAGATGAGAAAAGGATGAGCCCGTGGAAACGAACGACGTGCCAGAATTTATTAGCGAAACAGGTGACGGAAAGTAATGCACATGGATATGTTCCAAAACTTCGTAATAAGCGCAAAGTGGGTGGGCTGTGGGACCACTGTTAGGGAGAGTAGCCCACGGTAAATTATGATCCCAAAAACGAGGCACACCCAAATACAGCAGCACCTGCTGTTGTGGTGGAGTCGGCAGTAGTAAAAATGACAGAAAAAGAAATAATGGCAAAAACAACAAAAATTAATAGAATCGACTGGTCGATGGTTCATTTCGGTGTGGTCTGCACACCAAACAGCACTTGATTAGGTTGAATTGACGTGGATCACCAAGACAATAATGATTAATATCGCGGAAATGACAGTGCTGTACAAAAGGGAGTGAACGGAAAATAAAACAGTCATTTGGAATAATTAGGAAAGGAGCCGGTGCAGTAAAGCTATTGACTTTGTGGCCGCACCACTTCTGACAAGGATTCTGATACGGGTACCTCCGCCTAACCAAGCTTCACGCTAATCGTGAAAGTCTTGTTGGCACGTCAACAGCTGAGTGCAGTGCGATTTCTCCCAACTAATAATAATACGTATATTTTCTCCGATTTTGCGAGAAGCTGTCTCTGGATTGCGGACAGATCATGGGTAAAATAATGATCATGCTCATGCATGAGTGAGATATGTATTCTGGGGTGTGTGATATCAAAATAATTTGGAATCACATAACTTTTGTTGTTGCTGAGTTTTGTGTACCATCTATTCTCAATAGTTAAATATTCCTTGGTCCATTATGGAAGAACTCGTGTGGTGATTTACCCGATGGAAACATGGTTATTATCGAGTTCTGGTCCGGAATTTACTAAGCTGAATGCAGAATGTTCTTGCACTTGTGCAAGACCTGATTGTGGCTGGTAGGCTATTCCACACGACAGTGTATCTGACGAGGAAGAAGTTGGATCGATAGCTGTCCTGGTTCTTGGCACAGTTAATGTACAGATATTGTTGCGTATATTCCGAGTGAAGTTATGTTACAATTTTAGTGTGCAAAGATCGGAGTATGTCTTTCGGTCTACAGTCGTCGCAACCAAAGGGGATCGAGCTTGAGCTGCTGGCAGCGCTCCTGAGAACACAAGGTCGTTGATTTACTGAACAAGCGCTTTGCAAGTCTTCCAAAGCTTTCCTGTCACCCATACGCATGTTCCCATAGATGATGCTGCAGCATTCAAGGACAGGAAGTGTATTTTGAGAAGCTCGAGTCTGGCAGGGGTTGTATAGATTTTATGGCATATGTTAGCTAGAGATCGTTTAGCACATACTATTTGATATTCAGCTTGTTTTGAGAAATGAAATTTTGAAAAGTGTTGTATGCCTAGATCACAGCTGGATAGTTTCACACAGATACGTTCATTGTTCAGTCTAACTGACTCTTCAGGGATTAAACATCCGTGTGACATAATGCATGATTTACTAGCGGAGAACTTTAACATCCATGTGTTTCACCATTTCTCAAGTGAATAGAGGTCTTCTAAAATGAGCAGTAATGCGCTATGGAGTTTAGCTCATTAAAATGTATAGACAATCATTATGTCATCGGCGAACAAAAATGGCCTGCCATGTTTTATGAAAACTATGATATTGTTAATATAAAGTAGGAAAAAGGAAGGACCAAGTACACTCTCTTGGATGACACCACTGGTGATTGGACGTGGGGAGGAGTTATGATTACCCAGAGTGACTATCTGGTAGCGCCCATTTAGGTATGATGTCAACGAACCAAATAAAGGGTCTGATTCCAAATGACTCGATTCTTTTCAGTAGCCGCTTGTGGGGCACTCTGTCGAATGCGTTTCGCATATCCAGGAACAGTAGTATAACTGCATATTTGGAGTCAATGGCTTCTGTGATGTAACCCAGGTGGTGCAACTGGCACGTTGAACAGAAATGTTGATTGAGTAGCTCAAGCTGGGATTTGTTAAATGGCCCATGACGATGGACAAAGTATATGACTCCACTTTTACATAATTTTTCGACTAATCTAACCATGAGAGCAGTATGATAGGAGTATGATATGTCAATACTGTGACGTGCTGTTTAGGCCCCACTTTACGACGAGGGAAAATAAATGTTATTTTCCATTGATCCGGAAATTAATTAGATGCTAACGGAAAGGTGAACTTGTTCAGCTATATCAGTGGTATGTCAGGTCCACCGAGTGAAATAACTGATGGGGACTGCCATCGGAGTCTGGTTTGAGCGATGGTTTCATGGGCTTCATATACTTGGATGGTTGAAGGAGAAATCTCCACCTTATATGTTACGAATAATCCGGATAACATTGTATAGGGTCGGTTTCTACATCCATTGAAGCAGCGAAAAAAGAGCTCAACGCTTCACAAATAGCCAATGGGTAGTTAAGCTGGCGACTCTTCTCAACAATCAGTTCTGTGAGCAAGGACAAACCATCGTTAGTTCTATGACGCAGCAGTTTGGTCAGTTCCTTTCTTTTGCATACCATCCACAAGGCATTCTGCTTCTCCTCCTGTTCAAGCCGTTTCCTTTGTGAGGCCTTGATACAATCGACGGATGCGCGTAGCTGTATTACTGGTGAGAAGTCTCTAGTATTACTGAATTTCCCTATTACTTTTCTCCTTTTCAGGTCACGCTGAGTTCACTTACATTATTAGGACCAGAAATGGCATGTTTATAATGTGGAACGATTACAGTTATGATGCGATTGATCTGCTAGTAGAACTATTCCATTGCAATGGGGGCGCTAGGGAAGAGAAAAAGTGCATCCCGGTTGGAGGACCGGATCAGCTTTCCGAAATGTTACCAGTCAGGTCTTTGTATGGTATACTGGGCAGGTGAATCGAGTTTAGTATTCATTTTCAAGTAGGTGGTAAGGCATAGGACATTATGGTCACTACCGGGTAGATTGTCTAAGATGTCAATCTGTGCGTCGGGGATCCCCATGGTTAAGATTAAGTGCAGTACGTTGGTAGACCTAGTTGGTCCGGTGACCCACTGAGTCCAACCCCCAAATCTGATGGTCGATGAGAACGATCTATGCAATGATGATGTTTGTGTTGACCAAGTAATATTCGGTATAATGAAATCGACAGCGATCATCTCCAGACCATGTGGGAATACCGATGCGAAATCAAATGCCGCGGAAATAATTGCGATATCCCTGGCCGTCGCTTTCGGAGGGTTGTTGATGTAACCACGAAGTATTATAGAAGAGGCTGCAGCGACTGATAGCCGGAGAGATGCTGACACATTGTCTAACTGAAGTTCCCATGGAGATATCCGATACACCCGCCTCCCTTCTTTGTGCTGCAGTCTTTGCAAAGTAAATGGTAGTTACGGATATCTAAATTAGTATCCAATGTATCACTGGAGCACTAGGTTTCGGTGACGAAGATTACATGTGGGGTGTTCGGCTGACTAAGCATGTTTACAAAATGCAACTTTTTTGAAAGGATTCGCCTTAATTAGTATGGACGAAAACCTGTTGTACCTAAAAACTGTTACTGTGAGTACTTGAGAGAATTATGAATCAGTAATGACAAGCAAAGAAGTTAAATATGGGGGTGATGGAAGCAAACCCATCGGTGGAAGGCACAGGTGTCAGGGCATTGTTCGCTCTAGTAAGACCGAGTGGACAGCAAGGAGTGATGTTCTGAGGCTAGGTTAGAAGTTATCTGATACTGAGCTAGTCATGACATCTGGATGAACTACCAGAAACATAGAACTAAATAGGCTGTCTCTTCTGGGTGTGTCAGTGTTTGGAATGGAATTGGAGCCCTTCCCGCTTCCATTTAAAAAGGGTTATAGTAAAGTGATGGCTTGTGAAGGTATGTCGCATGACAGGAGGTATTGCCAGGTTTTCAAAGTCTTTCCGATTTTCATTTCTCTCTCAAGTGTCGTTGTAGACGGGAGGCTGATAAGTAGACTGGTATGTTGGAGGAGGTGGGAGAGCCTATGGTGTGCTGTGGCTGGTAGTGGCCAGACCTTGACAGATGGTCTACCCACTGCTGCTAATGTTGTGCCATGGGCTCATGTCCTGGACGCCTCCTCGTAGCGACCGCTCGGTGGGAGTTTGGTTTCGCCCATCTCCCTGCCAAGACCCAGGACACCAATCCGCATGAGTCAGTGAACTGACCATGTGCTAGACCTGCTGTCTTTCGGGTGTACATCTAATTGAAGGCTTTGGCTGAGGACCCGAGTCATTCTCCTGTCAGGTGTGGGCCTGCTGCCGGTATCCTAGTCCATCCTCTTCGGAGGTTAGGAAGTGGTCGATGGCTCTCTTCCCGTAAAACCTAGCCATGGGAGACAACAGGTCCACAGGCTATAAGCTCACCGCTCGATTGGCGTAGAGCACGAGCGCCACGTATTGTCTCTGACGGTGGGAGGGCACCTCCGGGTGCTCAATGGTTAGTTACCGCACGCCTCAAGCC